CCCTCTGTGCCCCCCGGGTGGGTGTCCCCTCATACTGCCCCTGTGGGTGTCCCCTCACGTCCCCTTACACCCTCTGTGGGTGCCCCCGGGTGGGTGTCCCCTTATGTCCCCATAAACTGCCCCTGTGGGTGTCCCCTCATGTCCCATTACACCTGCCATGGGTGTCCCCTCATGTCCCCTTACACCCTCTGTGGGTGCCCCCCGGGTGGGTGTCCCCTTATGTCCCCATAAACTGCCCCTGTGGGTGTCCCCTCATGTCCCCTCACACCCTCTGGGTGCCCCCAGATGGGTGCCCCCTCAGAGCCCGCACCCCTGGGTGGGTGCCCTGGCCTGGAGCGGTGCTGGGATGGGAAAGTTCATCCCAGTGCCATGTAATTCTTGCAGGTGACTGCACTCCAGGCGTAGGAGAAGGCAGGCACCTGCCCCTTTCCTGGAAACTGTGGAAATAGGTTAATAGGAAATAAGTTGGGTTGGGTTTTTTTTAATGAAGTTTGGAGCTCAAGTGTGTTAATTGCATTTCTTCAAGATAATTAGGTATTCTAATTTCTTTTTCATCCTTAGCTGCTTATTGCAAGGAAAAATATTTTTAATTTATGTTTTCCCTAACGAATGTGTTGGAGGCTAATTCCGAAATTGTGAGCTCGTTCACGGGTTTCTGAAAATTGGGGTTCTCGCCCGCGGGATGTCGGGCTGCTCCCCCGCTTAGTTCACGGGCAAACACAGCAACGGCTGGGCGTGCCGTGGTTTGTTGGCGCGCCTAGAGCACGGGTCAGCCTCAGCTGTCCTCTGTTGACTAAAAGGTGGAGGTTGGGTTGCTCGGGGTTGCGTCCAGCGAGGAGGGATGTTCTGGATTGCTACCCTTACTCGGCAGGAGTCATGGTCTGAAATGAATTATCACTGGGAAAATGAAAGCAGAAATGGATGCCCAGAGCTTGGGTTAAAATAGACGTTCTGCGGCAGACAACCAGCGAACGAAGCGGCGGGGGCGGTGTTTGTGGGGGTTTTTGAGGTGCGCACAC